GGCAAAAAGATTTATGGGTCTGTGGCCCAGAAAAAGGATTTGGGTTAAAAATGTAGATGTGTGAGTTTTCAGCATATGGATGGTATTTGAAGCCATTGGAGTGGTGCGACTTTCTCAAGAAGGCACAGTGGAGTAAGAGGAGGGAAGAGGCCAAAGGAGAAATCCTAGGAACATCATCAGGAAAAGGATGGTGGTGAGAGGAACAGAAGTGAAGGACACAAGGATAGGACATCCACCAAGACAAGCGGAAAACAAGAATGTCACAGAAACCGAGGGAAGAGAATCTTACAAGAAGGGGGAAGTTATGCAAAATTACAGAATATTCAAGAAATAATAATGCCTACGGCGTGTTCTTTCTGCAGGACCCTACTATCCTCAACAAGGAAAGCATCAGGAACAGTGAGGAGGGAGTTTTGGTGGCGTGATGGTGGTGGAAGCTATATCATAGTGGAATTAGCATGAATAAGAGTGAGGAATTGTAGACAGCAGCTGCAGACAACTCTTGCAAGAAGATTGGCTGTGAGAGGTGGGAACGCAGGGGCTAGCTGGAGGGGACCTGGCACTGAAGAAGGGCTTCTTGACAGGAGTGATTTGAGCATGTCTTAAATGTTGATGAGAAGGGGTCAGTGAAGGAAAGGAGAGGGGTAGTAGAAGGAGCGTCATCTCAGAGGAGGCAGGCAGGAGGGGGTCCGGAGCATGGTGGAAGTTCCAACTGCTGTGTTGGGAGAAGAGGAAAAGGTAGTTAGAGATGCTGGTCAATGCATTGTTGTAGCAACAGGGATTAGAGAATTTACACTTGGTGGCTCTATTTTTTCTCTAAAGTTGATGGGGAGATAATCTCCTGAGAGCAAGAAGGGAGGCAATAGGGCAGCAAGTTTGAAAACAATGATCATTGTAAGAATGGGAGAGAAAGCTAATTAAAGAGCATAGAATTGCTGGGGAGGGTTGAGGGCAGAAGAGAGATTGGAGACTAGCACATTAATGGCCTCAGTCTATGGAGTTGGTAATTTTATTCATCGGTGCTCAGCAGCCCAGATGTAAGAGCCAAGAAGAATAGTTTTACTGACCTACGCAGATATAATCCAAGAACAATGGTCAGGAGAGTTGATGATATTGGGGACAGTGATTTAAAAGAGGGGTCATGGGAATTCCATGTTGGATAGAGAAAGAAATGATGACTGAGAGAAAGCTTGAGAAGGACAGAATAGAGAAATCAAGGGTTTGATGGAGTTAAAAGATGAAGTAGAAGTGGGAGAGGCAGAAAGCCATGAGAAAGCCATGCCCTCAGAGTGGGTGTGTGAATTTATGATTTCAGAGGGGAAACAGTGCCAGTGATGACATATCCAAGGTGCAGCCAGGGAAGGGAGTGTCTGAAGTACATGGAAATGAAGGTCATTGAGGAAATCATGGCAATGAGCTTCCAGGGGTTAGGATGACTCATCCACACTGGTGACAGGAGGACTAGAGGTAGGGAAGAAGACAGTGAGTCCAGGGCTGAAGTTTCAAGGAATCGGGGAGTGGGCAGGAGGTCAAGGAAAGTCAAGGTTGAGGTTGGGGTAAACATTGATGAGTGCCTGATAAATCTCTAATGAACACATGGATGCATGAATCAGTGAATAAGTGAGCAAATGAATCCAGTAATTCAGACTAATCTGGCGTACATTCTGGGAATATCTAGCCATAAATCTTGAGATTCCCAAAGAAAACACTAGGCTCAGAGAAGGCAGATCACTAGGAGTATAGAGGCCTTGGGTTATCATAAGAGTTGAAGATGAGCAAATCTTTTCAGCCTATCCTATCTGAGAAGCTGTTTGTGCTCTCTAGACCAGCCCATGTTCAATACAGTAGCCATAAGGTCCTTGCAGTATTCAGGACCTGAAATAAGGCTAGACCAAATTCAGATGTGATGTCCAAGTAAAACACACACTGGATTTTGAAGACTTAGTACAAAAAAAGAACATAAAATATCTCATCTTGAACTATTGATTACAAGTTAAAATACAAAATTTTTGGATCTATGGGGTAAAATAAAATATTGTTAAATTAATTTCACTTGCTTTATCAATTGATTTATTTTTACTTTTTACACGAGGCTACTAGAAAATTCTAAATTACATGTGTGGTTCACAGTATATTTCTTTTGGGCAGCCCTGTTCCAGGCATTGGTCAGTAGCCTCTGTGATCCTGAAGAAAGCACTATGCCGCCCCAATATTTGCACATGTTCAATCAATAAGTTAATAAATGTAGCCACTCTGTTGGAATTCCACATATATTTGTTGTCATAAGTAAAATTTTAGCCCTCAACGGCTTAAATTTCTTGTACACTGGAAATGTCCCTTTAAGAGAGCATCTTAAGTCTCTCAAAGTATTGCAAAACCTCCCACTTGCTCCATTAGATAGGTTCTGCACCCTGGAAACCATGGCGGTGATGGATGCAGGTACTCACACTTGTCTTCATTGTTAGCACAGTTGAAATGAATTGAGGGAATTGTCTCTCTTCTTGGGATATTTCTGACACAGTGAGGTTGGAGACTGTGCAGATTGCACTTGTAATTTTCCTCTGACTGGGGAATCCTAAGGCTCCACTCCTTCAGGCCCAATCTCCTTGGAACCTGTAGTTACTGGCTTGCTTAGTAATACTCATTACAGTCGGAAGGGCAGGAACCCTATTTTAGCCAGAAACTGTGGAAGAAGATCCTATGTCAGCAGCGTCCGGAGCTGTTTTTTCCGCCCAAATCCAAAAATGTAATAGTAAACATTGAGAGTTGACGCTGGGTCAGGCACAGTGAGGAAACTGAGGCCCCAAAACCTTAGCAACCTGAGAGGTTCCACAGGTAAAAAGTGGCAGAGCTAGGATCTCAGCGTAGGTGGTGTTGAGATCCACCACACTAACTCCAAAGTGTGTGATCCTCATATCATCCTACACCTTCCAACACAACTGATTATGGACCAGGAAACAAAAAGAGGGAAGCCTCACTTAATTGGTCTCAGAAAAAGCCTCTGAAAGAACATGGATCAGTTGGGCTGACACATTGTGCCCACGCATGTGCACTGAACAGCCCAGTTGAGACTAGATCCTTTAGCAGAGGTTCCCAAACGATGCATTGGAATAAGTGTTTAAGGGCCTCATTCCAGGGCTGCTAAATCAGAACTCTGGGAGTAGGGCCTAGAAATTTGTATTTTGAAAGCATTTTCCCAGTGGAGATAAGGGAACCATTACCCTTGATTAGGATCTGATTTGGAACTTGGACTTCTGGATAACTCATGGTACAAAATGGAAGGAGGGTACAAAGAGGGTTTTACCCAAGCCACATCAGAGGGGGCCTGACCTCAGGAGCGCCTTTGGTAGATCCACCATTTGTGCACTAATTTCTAAGCAGCTTCCCAACCTTCAGATTGCTGGGGCCTCTGTTTCCTCTCAAAGGGATGAGTGCTGTTGCCTGAAGGCAGGCAGACATTGCCACCTCTAGAACTAAGGGTAAGTAGTGGGAAGGCCACAATAACTCTCTCCTTCTTCCTCCTTTTAGCCTTTCAGTGTTATGATGTACCCAGCTGGTCCAGGATCTGGTGACTCCCCAGAAGGCTTCCCTGAACAACCAAGTCTCCAGCCACAAATTGGAACTCGCACAACTCAGACACTGGGTACTGAAACTGGGTGCATCATCCAGTCTCTCCTTCAGAGCCTGTTTGGGGCAGAAGACTGGGGGAGGGAGACTGGGGAAGAGAGACTCAAAGAGGTTGCTGGGTGGCACAGAAGTGATGGCAGAACTGGCCTTCATTTAGTGACACATGCTTTGTTCAACCAGTCAACAAAGGCTTATGTGGTGGCTAGTAGTGCTAGCGAATGCAGATTTGGCCGCTTGCAAAACCAATGAGCAAGGTCGTGGTATGGTAGAAGTAGACTGACTTTATCATAAACCAAAGCTAGCAGTGGGGAAAAACGATCCAGGCTTTTGCTTTAATGGAACTGCTTCACATTTCCAAGCAAAATGCAAGGCTTTAAGAAGTTTTGGTATGGAGGATATGCAAGGGGTGAGGCAGTGCAGGTCTTCATGATGAGTTCTGATGACTTACCTTGAGTTACTGCCCATCTGGTGAACAGGCTGGCATCATCCTGGGCTGGGCTGAGTTGTAAATTAACTGTAGCCTTGAAGCAATCTCCTGGTGGGGGAGATTTCCACAGATGCCTATACTGTTTCAAGATTTAGTCTCTGGAACTTTTAAGCCAACATACAATTAGATATGCTAACAGTGTGTGTGTGGCGGGGGGATGGGGTGTCGGGGGCGGGGGTTGCCTAGTGGTTAACTGAACAAAAAGAAACAAGGAAATAAAAGAATATAACAAGAATATAACCTTCAAGCTGGGTACTTGGTTACAGTAGGTGCTTGGACTGTATTAGAGATACCTCAAGGTAAGCAACAACCAGCCAGAACTGGTCCCTGGCCTTGTGGACGTTTCTCTCTTCTCTCTCTCTCTCCTCTCTTTGTTCTCTCTCCTTTCTTTCTTGACTCTCTTACCAATGGGACACCCTGTTTTCCTGGATTAGGGAAAAGAAGACCCATTTAGAAAGTAGGGAAGGAGACAAAATCTTACTTCCTGAAGCAAGGTAGGACTCAATTTGTGACCTAGAATCTGAGACAGGGAAGTAGAGGCAAGAAAAGAGGGAAAATGGGGGAAGAACTCGCTTCCTTTCTGCGCTGAGAAGGGCTAGAAGTCAAGGTTAAGTGGAGCCTTAGAGCAAGTCCAGCTCTTCATTTTACAGGTGAGGAAACTGAGGGGCGAAGAGGTGATAGTGTGGTCACAAGGTGGACACCTAGTTAGCGGCAGAAGTGGGAATAAACGGTGGCCTTTGAATAACACTATGAGGCCTCCAGTGAGGCACTCAATTTTAATCCTGCACGCTTGGGTGGCAGCCGGGAGCTAGGCGAGGCTAGTTGCCATGGGAACCGGTTCCTCCCACTTCCTGTGTGCGCACCCATAGATCTGCGCTCCCAATAAAGTTGTTGTTGAAGCGCGGCGGCGGGAGCGCTGGCTGCACCACGTGGGCCGGACCGGGCCGGGGGCGGGGCCGAGCTGAGGGAGGCCCTGCAGGCGGCAGTGGGGAGCGGAGGCGGGCGCGGGCGGCCGGCCATGATCGCTTCGTGCCTGTGTTACCTGCTGCTGCCGGCCACGCGCCTCTTCCGCGCCCTCTCAGGTACCGGCCAGGCGTACCGATAGACAGGAGCCCGGCCTGGGCCCGCCTCTGCGGGGCTCCGCGGGCCTGGGGCGGCGTGCGGTTGTCCGGGCCTCAGGACTACGGTGCCCCGGGCAGTGCCGACGTGTAGGGAGGCGTTCCTGAGCCCCTGTCCCGCGGGCCCCTCCTGACCCCACGAGGCCTGGACCTGGCCGACGACCCTCGTGGGCGGCCCCGCCTCCCGCCTGTTGTCAGATGGCGTCCGGCCACGGTTAAGGTGGAGAGGAGCTGTGGACTGGCAGGGCCCTTTCCTGGCCCTGGGGGTGCAGAGAGATCGTGGGGTCGGCCAAGTCAGCACCCCGGGGGGTCGGGAAGGGGTAGCAGCTCGGACCGAGGCGAGTGCCCAAATTCTCGGCGGGTGAGGCGGGTCGGCTCTGGGAGGTTTATGGCCGAAGTACTAGACGCACCGGTCTTCGCCAGGTTAACTTCACACTCACCTTTCACTGCCAGCTGGCAGCTCTTGCTCCTCTCTCGCCGGTGTCTGGTTGAAAAACGGACGCTCAGTCAGAGGCACATTTAGATCTCAGCTTTGGAGCATTCCCGCCCCCAGTCCCGGCGGTTTAGAGGGAGATGTGCTGGGGTGGGGGCAATGCTCAGTCGATACCTCAGAGGGAGTGGTTATTTCGTTACTTTTTTCATAATTTGTCTGCATTCTCAATTCCTGGTCTTTGAAATTACGGAGGGTTTTATGCGACCATCAGTTTCTGAGATCCCATGGAACTCGCAGACTTTTTGCCTTTAATTTATGGGACAGGACCAAGAAGTACTTAGAAATGAGGGCTCCAACTGTGTGTTTTGTGGTTTTCCTTTGTGGAACTTTACGCAATTGATACACAATGTGTGTGTCATTGATAATATATATTTCATATAGAAATATTTTAAATTTATTTTTACTGTGTGTCTGCCATTAGAATGCAAACTTCAGGAGGGCAGGGCCACGCCCATTTTGTTCGCTGTATCTCTGGTAACACATTGCTTGGTATATAGTAGGCACTCAGTGAATTCAGGAATGTCTTTTGTGTCCATACTTCTGAGGAATGGGAAACTCCACAGAAGTAATTGTTTTCAGAGAACTAAGGATATTCTTTTAACTATGTTGCTGTTACTCCTGGAGCTCTTCTAATGCCCTCTATGGCAGCCTTAGTGATATAGTATGCTAGTCCAGAGGTTTCCAGACCAGTAGAGTCGTAGGGATCTCAGAGGAGGGCCCCTCCCCACCTACACATTACAGTAGTCCCACTTATATTTACTTGGCATATTTGGTTTCCAAATAAGATTTTTAAAAAACAGAAGCATTCTGCTGCTGAAAATCCACCACCACCACTGCCAAAAGACATCTGCCAAAATCGAAAGCCTCTAACTTTGTGCATATGAACCAAAGAACCTCTGCCATCTGGTACACGCAGAGGATGTTTCAAGGGGCAGATAATTAGCAAGTCCTTGAGACTAAAGCTCAATGACCCAGTCCATAGGTTTAGAGCAGGGTTTCTCAATCTCAGCACTGTTGATGTTTTGGGCCGGATCATGTGTTGTGGGTCTGTCCTGTGAATTGTTGGAAGTTCAGCAGCGTCTCTGTCCTCTAACCATTAGATGCCAGTGGCACTGCTGCAGTTGTGACAACCACGGTGTCTTTGAACATTGCTAAATGTCTTCTGACGGCAAAATCACCGTGGTTAAAAACCATTGTTTAGAAGGACATAAATATACATAGGCTCCAAACAACATATTTGAACAGTCTTTCAATATTTGAGCCACTTTTAAGTTTTCTTGCCTTAAAAAAAAATTGCCAGTAAAATGAGTCTAGTGATTGAGGGCCAGCATCGTACATGTCACTTGTCCTGTGCTGTAAATAAATGGCTGAGTGTGTGAGTGTGGGAGTTGTTTGCTCTCACCAAAATGCTATGCTCAGAGTTTTTTTAGAGTTTTTCCCACGTTCTTTCTTGCCTGTTGGTTGTGATTTGTGGCTGCAGTAGCAAAGAGATGTCAGCTGTCTCTTACTGTCAATTGTTGGCACCTTGTAATTTATAGCCTCTGATGTGTTGTGGAATGGGAAAGCAGATAATGAAGTTTGTGAAGATTTTATTACAATAAGTAGCTTTAAAAAGAGGCTTAAGGGCCTTTGCTGAGATGTAAATTGTATAGATTTTTGAGACTCTACTTTAGGACTTTTTCTTTTGGAGTACATTCATAGATCAGGGAATTTATACAACTAGAAAAGCTCTTAGAGATTATCTAGTTCAAACTTTGCTTGTCTCTATTTTTTAAATTAAATTTTTTTTTCCAATTTTTTTTCAATTTTTTTTTTTTTTTTGAAATGAGGTCTCACTTTGTCTCCCAGGCTGGAGTGCAGAAGGGCAGTCATAGTTCACTGCAGCCTCGACCTGGGCTCAAGCAGTCCTCTCATTTCAGCCTCCCAAGTAGCTAGGACCACGTGCATATGCCACCATACTTGGCTAATTTTTAATTTTTTGTAGAGATGAAGTTTCGTTATGTTGCCCAGGCTGGTCTGTAACTCCTGGCCTCAAGCGATCCTGCTGCCTCTGCCTCAGCCTCTGCCTCCCAAAGTGCTGGGAGCCACCACGCCTGGCCTCTTGTTCCCATTTTACAGTCAAGAGTAACTCCATCTGACTAGGGGCATTGTTCAAGGTCAGTTTTATTAATTTTGCTGCTAGATCATAACCCACAGTTCTGATTCACAGTCAAGTGCTGGTTCTAATGTAATGTGGTTCTTAGAACCAAAGAGTTTGTTAATAGTTTTAACTAAGTCATGTAAAAGGAGTGTGGTTATATGTGCCCATCTGTGTTCTAGATTATGTGAGAGAGCTGTTCTTTCATGCACTGAATATTTATCAGATCCCTGCCTTATAAATTAGTCACCACTTGTAAAGAACAGTGCCTGGCACATAGTGAATACTTTGCCCTGATTATGATGATGATGTTCAGGCATTAAGGTGGGCAGGCTCGGTGATGGTACGATGAGCAAGGTGGATATGGGTCTTGCTTTTATTGGGCTTATGTTTTAGCTGGGAGAAGAGTGTGGATTGGATGACAGTCTTATAACCTGGTATTTTGGCTTTCCTCCTAGATGCTTTCTTTACATGTCGAAAAAATGTCCTTCTGGCGAAGAGCTCATCCTCCCAGGTAGAAGGCGACTTTGCCATGGCCCCTCGGGGCCCTGAGCAGGAGGAATGTGAGGGCCTGCTGCAGCAGTGGCGAGAAGAAGGGTCGAGCCAGGTACTCTCAACTGCAAGTGAGGGGCCCCTTGTAGATAAAGGACTAGCCCAGAGCAGCCTGGCACTTCTGATGGATAATCCTGGAGAAGAGAATGCTGCTTCAGAGGACAAGTGGTCCAGCAGGCAGCTGAGTGACCTTCGGGCAGCAGAGAACCTGGACGAGCCTTTCCCTGAGATGCTAGGAGAGGAACCACTGCCAGAGGTGGAGGGCCCTATGTGGGCAGCTATCCCCATGCAGACGGACCCCCAGTATGCAGACTGTGCTGTCCTCCCAGTGGGTGCCCTGGCCACAGAGCAGTGGGAAGAGGACCCGGCGGTGTTGGCCTGGAGCATAGCACCTGAGCCTGTGCCCCAGGAAGAGGCTCCCATCTGGCCCTTTGAGGGCATGGGGCAGTTGCAGCCTCCCCCAATGGAAATACCATATCATGGTGAGTCTGACAACTGACTGAGTGAGCCAAGGGAGCAGGGTGTCTCAGGTGTGGGCAGAGCCATTGCTAAAGAGAAGATTCTATGGTAGGGAGCTCTGCCACTGCATTCTATTTTTCTAAGAATCTTGGCGTGTAAGATCTAGAGGGGCCTTACAGATCATCTCATCCAGCCCCATGGTTTTAAAGGTGAAATAATCACAGTGCAAAGAGGTAGCAGAACATGCCTAAAGTCATAAAGCCAGGTAGGGGAAGAACTGAAAGCATACTCTAGTTCTGATTCTCCACAATATCATTTCTCTGGTGGTAACCCTAGGGCTTTCTGAGGGTAGGGATGGAGAGGTCTCAAGACCTCTATTCTCTGTCTCAGTCACAATCACCTCAGTTTTATTTGTGTTGTATATTCAGAGTCCATTAAAATTTGAAGAAAGGCATCAATAGATTTGAAATCCACTATGCTGCCACATGCCATAGGGGAGATGGGGACACACTGTGGTTTCTAGTCCTACAGACTCTTCCAGGTTTAGGGATCAGAAAACACCCAGGGCTGCAGTTAACTCTAGAAATGTCTTTAACCTCAGGTGACTGTTAAGCACACTCATCTGAGTGATTCTCCAGAGATATATGGATTTATCAAAAATGAGAGATTGTCAGCTTGCATATATGGAGCATCTATTAGATGCTAGGTACTGGTGATGTAGTGGTAAGCAGGCCAAGATCTCTGGTTTTGTGGAGCCAACCATGTCATCTGAAGAATGTCCATAGAGTGCTGCTCAATTCCCCACAGAGAGGGATGGGTGACAGGGCAGATGGTAAAAGGAACTTCAGGCATAATATTACTGAGTCAGGAGCAATGGTGCCTGAGGAGATGGTGGTGCCTCTGCATTACTTGTACTTGCCATGGAATGCTTCTCCCAATCCCTTTTCAGAAATTTTGTGGCGAGAATGGGAGGATTTCTCCACCCAGCCAGATGCTCAGGGCCTGAAGCCAGGAGATGGCCCTCAGTTCCAGTTCACTCTGATGTCTTATAACATCCTGGCTCAGGACCTGATGCAGCAGAGCTCAGAGCTCTATCTACATTGCCATCCGGACATCCTCAATTGGAACTATCGCTTCATGAACCTCATGCAGGAATTCCAGCACTGGGACCCCGATGTGAGTGAGGGGGGGAGTTGCCATCTTGCATTGTTGCTGGACCTGGGCTGTTTCCCAGTGCTCTTAGAAGATGAGTTCAACCCCATAGTTGTTCAAATGATTGGAGTCCTATCTAGGGTTAGAGTTTGCCTGCCTGGTGTCAGTGAGTTGTTGGCAGGTGCTGAGAAGAATCTCCCTAGGTGTGCACTTTCCAGCACCTTTATGCAGGAAGGGAGGCTTGAGGGATTCAAGGAGCAGGAAAATCCAGTGCACATGTCTAATCTCTTCAGCTTAGGTCTGGGCCTTTCTTGCTGTTGGTGACTGGGAAGTTTCACTGTGACCCAGCAGCTTCCTACCTGGCCTCAGGACCTGCTCCTAGAGGGTGGGGGTCACATTCCAGCACTCCAGAGTGATTGGGTTTCTTGTCAATTTCCCAGATCCTGTGTCTCCAGGAAGTCCAGGAAGATCATTACTGGGAGCAGCTGGAACCCTCTCTGCGAATGATGGGTAATGCAGCTCCCTGGGATGCTTGCCAGTTTTTCTTTCTACAGCCTTGCCTACTCTCTCCTGAAGACCCCATCCTTCCCTTTTGTCTTGGTAAACCCTCAGTTGCACCTGTGAGCTAGCTCCTTCCATGTGTGCCTGAGAAAGTAGAATTCTGCAGTTTTAAAGCAATTCTGACATACATTGCTATTTGATCCTTGAAGTAACCAATGTGGTGAGACTGTTATTATTCCCATTTTACAGATGAGAAAACTGAAGTTCTGAAAATTCGTGTGACTTCCTCAGAATCACAAAGCCACAAAGCTAGTAGATGTGGAGCTAGGAATCCAGCTTGTCTGACTCTAGATTCTGGGCTCTTTTCTATCATGTTACATTGCTTCATACCCTTCCCTCCTTGCCCTTCCAGCCCCTCAGTCACCTAGTTACAACTGTAAGGGGGAACCTGCTGAACCAAGGAAGTGGCAAAGGCTTCTTTACTGAGTAGTAGGAACAATGCCTCAGGGGCACACACTGGGACTGCTGGTGCTGGTTGGAAGGGATTCAGGCTTTAAGGACTCTGACCCATCTCCTTGGTGGGGTTTTCCTTGCAGGCTTTACCTGTTTCTACAAGAGGAGGACCGGGTGTAAAACCGATGGCTGTGCTGTTTGCTACAAGCCCACCAGATTCCGCCTGCTTTGTGCCAGCCCTGTGGAGTACTTCCGGCCTGGCTTGGAGCTACTTAATCGGGATAATGTGGGCTTAGTGTTGCTACTGCAACCACTCGTCCCAGAAGGCCTGGGGCAAGTCTCGGTGGCCCCGCTGTGTGTGGCAAATACCCATATCCTTTACAACCCACGCCGGGGTGATGTCAAGCTGGCCCAGATGGCCATTCTCCTGGCAGAAGTGGACAAGGTGGCCAGATTGTCAGATGGCAGCCACTGCCCCATCATCTTGTGCGGGGACCTAAATTCTGTCCCTGATTCACCTCTCTACAACTTCATCAGGGATGGAGAGCTCCAGTACCATGGGATGCCAGCCTGGAAGGTGAAATGGGAGAGGCCACAGTGGGGGTGGGAACATGGTCTAGAGAGAGATTCAGCTGTTAGCATCAGTGCTTCTTCTGTGGCAGGGACCTCAGTACACCTGCTCTGGCCTGTTCCTCCTTTTTCTTGTTATGTTGAATAGCTTGTACCCAAGCCTGGAAGTTAAGAATTCTTGAGTACTTTGGCATGTTGGGATTTTTTTCAGTTTTTATCATTAATATTTTTAATTCACAAGTAGTACGTGAGTATGTACTTGGAGGAACTTAAACATTATACAGTAAGGCACAGGCCTGTTTTATTACCCACATTCCCTTTCTATTCTCTTAGAGTCACATAATGACCGTTCTAAGTTTGGTGGTAGTCTTTTAGCTTGTTTTCTTTGCATTTATAGTGATATCTATGTTCCTATGATACTGTAATCGGTGTTTACATTTGTTAAGCACTTAACTCTCTGCCATGTGCTATTTTGAGCACTTTATACTCATTAACTCATTAGTTTTCACAATTTCCATCATGGCTTTCATTTTATAAATGAGGAAACTAAAGCCCAGAAAAGTGAAGTAATTTGCCGTAGGTTATGTGGGTAGTTAGTGGTGGAGCCAGGATTTGTAACCAGGTGGTCTGGCTGCAGAGCTCTTACCCTCAAATACTGTGCTGTGATTGCTTATAACAGCCAATATGTAATCTGCCATGTGTGTTTTATAAACATGATACACTACTATATGTTTCATTTGTAGCTTGTTTTTTTCCACTCAGCAATTTGCATATGGATCTCATTCCTTCTAACTGTTGAGTGTTGATGACAGACACCTCATAGTTTTATCAGCTTGTGCTGATTTCTTTATGTCACTTAATCTCCTTGTTCCTCTATTTTGCCCCTGCTGTTTCAATTTATTGACTAACTTTTGGCAAGGCACGATGGTGGAAGGACACAAAACGATTGAATTACTGTTGCGCACATGGGATTTTATGTAAATGAGCCAGATGTGTGCAGAGAAAGGCATGATCTTGCCCTAAAGGAGCTGTAATCAAGGAGCTCAGGGAACGAGGAAAAGAACTGACTGCCTGCCACATGACAGGCACTGTTAGGCATAGTGAATGAGAGCACTTGCTTTGAAGCCAGACAGTCCTGAATTCAGATCCCTGCTCTGCCACCTTGAGCAAATTACTTAACTTTCTTAAACCCAATTTGCCTCATCTATACAATGGGGGATATAATGGGACCTGCCTCAGAGGTGTTTTTTTGGGTGAATTAAATAAAATAATGCGTGTAAAGTGTTTTCCAGTATCTGGTTCAAAGTCAGTAACTGGTAGTGATATTAAGATTCTTAACTGTACATGGTATTATTATCCCATTTTATTTATTTATTTACTTATATTTTGAGACAGAGTCTCGCTCTGTTGCCCAGGCTGGAGTGCAATGGCATGATCTTGGCTCACTGCAACCTCCGCCTTCTGGGTTCATGTGATTCTCCTGCCTCAGCCTCCTGAGTAGCTGGGATTACAGGAGTGTGCCACCATGCTCGGCTAATTTTTGTATTTTTAGTAGAGACGGGGTTTTACCATGTTGGCCAGGCTGGTCTCGAACTCCTGAACTCAGGTGATCCACCTACCTTGGCCTCCTGAAGTGCTGGGATTACAGGCATGAGCCACTGCTTCTGGCCTATCCCGTTTTATAGTAGGAGATATTGAACCCAAGAGAGTTAGCTAACTTGCCCAAAGTCACACAGCTATTAAGTGGCCATTGAATTGCAGATCTGTTTTACTTCAGATGACATATTGAAAATTTATGCCGTTATAGGGCAGGGGGATTCTGTCTATCGCTACTCTATCCCCAGCACCTAGCTAGTGTCTTTTGGCTTTCAAATATTTGTTGTTGTTAAATGGCATAAAGGGACTTGCTACACACGTTGGAGATGTGCAGATGACTGATGTTGCCGAATGTTTCCCCTACTACGTTTTGTCCGTTCCCAGGCTGCTCATTGGCTTTGACCGAGGATGGTGACATAGATACGGTAAAGTGCTTTGGTGCTTTCCCATTTGGTTTGACCCTGTGGTTTCCCAGTAATAGGTTCAGGATATTAGACCTTGATCCAGAAGATCCAAAGATGAGGATAAACCTTTAACCATTGCAACTTAAAGCCCCTGAGAGTTGATATTCCCGGTGGAGGAGAATTGTATTGATTTTTTGGAGGTAAAATTTAGAGAACCACATGTTCATACTATTCGATTCCCCTTGATTCAGTCTCTTATCCTCCTCCTGTTTCATGGACATTTCAGTGTTGCCAGTGAAAAAGTAATGGTTTTAATTTGGTCCTTATTTTTAACCTGCCCCTGAGACTTACATGCTTGCTTATACACATGTATGTAGTGTGTGATTGTGTGTGTTTGTAATTTGTCCACATGTCCCAAAACATGGGCTGTTATTTCCTTTTTCTATCTTGGTTTCCTTATTCCCACCCTGCTCTTTCCTTGCAGGTATCTGGACAGGAAGACTTCTCTCATCAGCTTTACCAGAGGAAGCTGCAGGCCCCCCTGTGGCCCACCTCCCTGGGCATCACTGATTGCTGTCAGTATGTCTCCTCCTGTCACCCCAAGAGATCAGGTGAGCACACGTCACATTCTTGGTTGGCTGTGTCTTCGTGTCCATTTTGGGAGAAAGCTGGTGTCTCAATGACAAGAAAAAGTATAATCCCTCATTTCTCTTAGCATATTCTTCTGCTTTCTCACTGTCCTCCCAATGGCCGTCCAATAAAATGGACAACTTTAAATCACAGCCATTGGAAAATCTCCTTGTCTTCTGAATCCTTCCTCTGTGGATCTATGCTGGAAGTTGCTTGGTACTAAGGAGGTCTCAGCATGTTGCTTCATCTTCTTTCACTATATGGCTTTTCCTGGTTTCCAGAGAGACGCAAGTATGGTCGAGACTTCCTGCTACGTTTCCGCTTCTGCGGCATCGCTTGTCAGCGACCAGTAGGATTGGTCCTCATGGAAGGGGTGACAGATACTAAGCCAGGTAATGGAAACTAATCCCAGTTTCTTGGTCTTCTTTCTTCTTCACTCCTGATGTTTGTCAGTTATGTGGTTTCCTGCTCTTTTCTAAGTATAGTTCTTAGAGATTAGCTTCTGGTAATACGTATACTTGGAAGCTCAGTTGAGTTCAGTGGCCATTGCATGGATGTGCAGTGTGATAAGAGCACCAGACCAGGAATCAAGACACCTGAGTTCTAACTAGCTTTGAGAGCTTGGGTAAGCCACTTAACCTTTTTAGACTTAAGTTGTTAATGACTAGCATGTGTACAGCATATATAGGGGAGAAGTTAAACACGATGGGGCTTTGAAAATCATAAGGTAACAGTGGTTCTGGTTTTAATAAAAGTTGATCCTACTGAGAAATTTCAGATTGAATGTAGCAGCGTATACTTGACATTCTCCCCTTCTTGTCTCTGAAACCACTTCAAAGCAACAAGGAGAATGGAAAAAAGAAATGTAAACTCCATTGTAGACAAAACTGGGAGATTTGAAGATACCTGACACCAAGAACCACAACACAGAAGGAATGCCTGCAAGAAGCACTGGAGATCGTGCAGGGGTGCTAGAGGAAGTATAGAGAGACTTATCTGGGGGATATGTGGATCTCAGAAAGAACTAGCTGAGTACTTTTTTCCATCTGGAGCATAAAACCGAAATCCCTTTTTTTTTTCCAACAAGAATAGAAAGCACAGGTCACGATAGGAGAGTCTCTGGACCAGTTTTGATCATATGAGGCAGTGGAGGAAGGACTGATCAAGGATCAAGCCATATTTCTGTTAAGCAATCTGGTCAAGTGGTAGAGAGGGTAGATAAGATACTTGTAGAGCTGCGTATCTCTTTTGGCTTGGGAGAGAAAGATTAAAAGGATGCCTACATAACCCTGTGTCAAAAAGAAAATTCCTGTTACTTGAAATACCCAGTCCTTCCCTTATATAAACTTTGCACAAATAACTGGTGAAGAAAAACCTCAACTAATTCAAAGCTGGGTTGTCAGAAAGGAAGAGCATGGAATCTGTACTAAAATACTACAAGAAAAAAGGAACAGAAAAACAAAAGGCGGATAAAGAATGTTTAACTTCAAAGATAAAAATAATTGCCATGGAGCTTATAGAAATTATGATGACTTTCTCATGAATAAAGAAATTGTCTTTATTTTTATTTTATTTTATTTTATTTTTTTATGACGGAGTCTCACTCTGTCACCAGGCTGGAGTGCAGTGGCACCATCTTGACTCACTGCAACCTCCGCCTCCTGGGTTCAAGTAATTCTCTTGCTTCAGCCTCCGGAGTAGCTGGGATTACAGGCGCACGCTGCCATGCCTGTCTATTTTTTTTTTTTTTTGATTTGTAGTAGAGATGGGGGTTTCACCATGTTGCCCAGGCTGGTCTCGAACTCCTGACCTCAGGCAGTCTGCCTGCCTTGGCCTCCCAAAGTGCTAGGATTACAGGCGTGAGCCACTGCGCCCGGTCAAGAAATTGTCTTTATGAAAGAAAGAGCACAAAAATAACTGCCTATAAAGTAAGTTCGGGCATGTGGCAAAACATCAGAAGATGAAATGTAAGCTGCAGAGCTCAGAAAAGAAGTGGAATAAAACATAAAAATATTACAAAAAATAAAGACAAAATTGTATGCAGCACAAGTAGGAATAGATACTGTTGAAAACAAGGTAAGAGACAGGCCCGGAAATCCAAACAAAACAAACAAAATGAGAAGTAAAAGGTTAGAAAGGATTAGAGACAAAATGACAGTAGTGAAAGATAAAGGAGATTTAACTTATACATAATTGGAGTTCCCAAAGAAGAAAGCCTATAATATAATAACACAGAAAAAATATTTAAAGATAATTATTCAAGAAAGATTTTCCCAAAGTGAAAAGACGTGAATTTTCAGATTGAGAAGACATGTGTCCCAGTAAAAAATGATACGGGAGCCAGGCACCCTGGCACACACCTATAATCTCAGCATTTTGGGAGACCAAGACAGAAGGATTGCTTGAGCCCAGGAATTTGAGACCAGCCTGGGCAACAAGGTGAGATACCGTCTCTACAAAAAATCAAAAAATTAGCCAGGCATGGTGACGCGTGCCTGTGGTCCTGGCTACACAGGAAGCTGAGGCAAGAGGATTGCTTGAGCCCAGGAGGTCAAGGCTGCAGTGAGCCATGTCCGTATCACTGCACTCCAGCTTGGGTGACAGTGAGACTAAAGATGTAGGAGAATTAATACTAAGACATTCTAGTGAGGTTCTTGGAAGTCAAAGATGAAAGAGTCTTTTGGGCCAAAAAAAAAAGATGTAGGAGAATTCATACTAAGACATTCTAGTGAGGTTCCTAGAAGTCAAAGATGAAAGAGTCTTTTGGGCAGTTAAAAGATTGAGCTACTTTGAAGTCTAGCAGTAATGAGGTTGACCTCAGACCATTTTTTTTTTCTTTTTCTTTTTTTTTTTTTTTTGAGACAGAGTCTTGCTTTGTCATCCAGACTGGAGTGCAGTGGTGCTATCTTGGCTCGCTGCAACCTCCGCCTCCTGGGTTCGAGTAATTCTCCTGCCTCAGCCTCCCCAATAGCTGGGACTCTGGGCATGCAACACCATGCATGGCTAATTTTTTTGTATTTTTAGTAGAGATGGGGTTTCACCATGTTGGCCAGGCTGGTCTCAAACACCTGACCTCAGGTGATCTGCCCACCTCAGCCTCCCAAAGTGCTAGGATTACAGATGTGAGCCAGCGCACCCGGAAGACTTCAGACTTCTTAATATTGACATCCAACTCCAGAAGACAGTGGATTAAGGTTTCTAGGAAAGAAGATATAGTTCAAGAATATTATACTCAACTAACAACCTTTCTTCAAGAAACTACTAGAGGAGTAACTGAAGGCAACCAAGCAATGGCTGGGAAAACTATAGTAAAAGGACTGCTGATTAACACTGAATTTATTTTTTTCTTGTAAGAGTTTAATTTGAATTGGCGTTTTTCACAGAGCAACAAACATGTCTGTGGCCCAGTTTATTTTTAATTGTAAAGTGAAAGTATTATTACAGCTCTGTCAATAGCAATAGTAATAACAATGATGGCCACCCTGTATTGAGTGAACCAGCAGGTACAGGAACTGGGATAAGTAAATTCTGTGTCAGTCAGGTTCAGGCAGAGGAGCTCAGTGGTTTAGGATTACAAAAACAGTAACAGGATCTCACTTAGATAATTTCATATTAAGAATAGGTTATTTAAATCAGTGATGTACTTGAATGAAACATAAAATAAATAGTAACAAAATTAAACCAAGAACCTTTAAAATATATACTGACAACCACTTTGTAGGTAGAAAAGACTCATTCTATAGGGGCAAAATAGCCAGTTCCCCAAAGGTGCAAAATAACAGTAGTATTTTGAAAATTGAGATTAGATTTGGGTAAACACACTCATTCTCCACATACTCTGAATGTACCCTTCTGTTTGTTCAATGCTCCTACCCAGGGCTGAACAGGCTCTTGATGAATCTCTTTTAAAGACTCTAAATCTAAATTTTTTTTTTTCATGACAGAGTCTCACTGTTTCACCCAGGCTGGAGTGCAGTGGTACAGTCGCGGCTCACTGTGTAGCCTTGATCTCCTAGGCTCGAGTGATCCTCCCACCTCAGCCTTCCGAGTAGCTGGGACTATAGGCACATGATACCATGCCGAGCTAATTTTTGTAATTTTTGTAGACATGGGGTTTCACCATGTTGCCAAGTCTGGTCCCGAACTCTTGAGCTCAAGCCTTCCTCCCGACTCGACCTCTCAAAGTGCTAGGATTATAGGAGTGAGCCACCATGCCCAGCCAACTATCCTTATTTTTAAAGGGCCATGAATGGAGTACAAGGAGATCTTAGTGTGTGAGTTCATTTTTTCTAGAGGCTCTGTTTAGATATGCTAACAATATTTCCAGTTCAATACCAGAATCATCCAACCCAACTGTGCATTTCAAAACATGACAACTTAACTGTGACACTAGCTTGAATGGGGAGCCTCGGAGTACAAAGAAAGATTCAGTGCTAGGTAGTGATGGTTTGATTTTCCCATCAGCTGACATTGCATTGTAGTGGAGCATTCTGTGCCATCAATGTGTATAATCAAATACATTGTGATTTTTACTATTTCCAACTCCCTTTGTTTTTGTTTGTTTGTTTGTTTGTTTTGGTTTTTTTTTTTTTGAGACGGAGTCTCACTCTGTCACTCAGGTTAGAGTGCCATGACACAATCTTGGCTCACTGCAACCTTTGCCTCCTGGGTTCAAGCAATTCTTGTGCCTCAGCCTCCCGAGTAACTGGGATATACAGGCATGTGACACCACGCCCAGATGGTTTTTGTATTTTTAGTAGAAACAGGGTTTCACCACGTTGGCCAGGCTGGTCTTAAAGTCCTGGCCTCAAATGATCCACCCACCTTGGCCTCCCAAAGGGCTGAGATTACAGGTGTGAGCCACCAGGCCCAGCCCCCAACTCCCTTTGTAATGGAATAATTTGTTAAAAGGGTATTTAATTTTTAAGTTCTCCCTCATTGTTAACATTTCTATTATGAATGATTTCTTTTTTCCAGTATGGTTCTTAAAGATACTGTCTTAGTCCATTTGGGCTGTTGTAACAAGATACCATAAACTGGGTAGCTTTTAAACAATAGAAATTTATTTCTCATGGTTCTAGAGGCCGGGAAGTTGAAGATCAAGGCACTGGCAGAGGCTGGGTACAATGGTTCACACCTGTAATCCCAGCACTTTGGGAGGCTGAGATGGAAGGATTACTTGAGGCCAGGAGTTTGAGACCAGTCTGAGCAACATAGCAAGACCCTGTCTCTACAGAAAATTCAAAAAGATGAGTTGGGCATGATGGCATGCAACTGTAGCCTTAGCTACTCAGGAGGCTGAGGTGGGAGGATCACTTGAGCCCAGAAGTTTGAAGTTACAGTGAGCTATAATTGCCCCACTGCACTCCTGCCTCAGCAACAGAGACCCTGT